ACCGTAAAATTAAATCCAGTGAACCCCGCTTTGAATGCTAACAAGTAATTTCAGAATATCAACGCACCGCGCTTATTGCAAAGCGAGAACTGTGACAACAGTAATTTTATTTGGTCTTTATGGTTGACAATTGATAAGACAGCGTCGTGACTTTCGGAATCAGTGGCTTGCCGTGACGTCAGTACACTGGCAATGCAATCTGGTGAGCGTGACACACGAGAAACGAGTTCGTATGTCCTCATATCTAGGTCTTCAGTGGACAGAGGCTAGCGGAGTTTGACCAGCGCGCTGCGACCAGTTAAGCATTGAGCGTTCACAGTGTGGTGGTAGGGTGGGAGTGGGGGGGTTCCTGGCCCAGTGGGTCTGGTTCTTTTCCAAAACAAAAGTGCAGATTCGATCACAGACTCTCTCTCTCTCCCCCCTCTCCCGACACACACACACACACACACACACACACACACACACACACACACTCGCCGAGGATATCATGCTGTAATAGTAATGCAAAAAGTTGGGACATTTATTGCCTGAAAGAAACACCCCTTTACGAAACAACACCAAATTCTTACAACCAAAAGCGAAGACGAAACGTTTTAAAAATTCCTTTATTAATTATTGCCTCTTTAACTTGTAGTTATTTATGAATGCCTTTTAAATTTGTAGTATTTTAGGAATTATTTGTTTTATAATTTAAAGTTTATTGTCAATTTTCTTTTAAACATTCTTTATACAACTCCAACCTTAGGGTTGCAATTTTACCTAATAAATTATTATTATTATTATTATTATTATTATTATTATTATTATTATACTCCTATCTGCAGCAGAGGAAACCCCACCAAACAAAATTATAGGCCGAATTAAAAGGAACCACGCTATACAGGCCGAAGTTAAGGCTTCCTCGATATTATAATTTTTTCCTGGTGAAAACTTATTGACAAAGATTCGCAATATTTGTCTTATTTTAGCATTTTTATAAATATTTATCCAAATGTTTTCATAATCCCTTAATCATTTTAAAACATCATATTCTAGAGAGCACATTTCCAAAAGTCATGACCTAATGAAGACATCAATTGGAATTTTCCATTTTTAAATTTTTTTCTTTTTCTATTTTCTCTAATTTTCTCACTGCGTAATTCAATGCTATTACTCATTAAAAGCCACGATATTGAAATCCTTTTTACGTTAAAAAGTAACTCAATACAATCTTTTAATTTAAGTGGCAAATCCAATAACACTTTATAAATCCAGATTTTAAAAAATCGAGGCGTTTTTTAACCATGGAACTATATAATTCCATGATTCAGCATTGTGTCACAGATAAGTTTTATACCCATAAGATATCAATCAGATTTCGAGATTTCGACAACAATACAGTTGATGGTGGATGGTGCACCGGGAATGAGGAAATGCGTAATCGGTTGCGATCAGGACTGATGTGGGAACAGGTCTTTAAAACTATCATCTCTCTCTGGTTTGATAGAAGGAACGAATCTGAACATGAAAGGAGCGTATTGATTTCTTAGATAACCTGACGAAGTGTACAAGATCTTTAATCAAATTTCTGTTCCACAAACTGGTATCAGGGGGTCTGTATCTCGAGACTCAAACCTTAATCTGACACCTCTCACAAAACTACTGCCACCAAGTTTAATCGGCGCTTTGTCTGCTACTCTTTGATTGTTGAACTTTAATTATTGCGTCGAGTTTAATCTAAACAGACAAACGTGGCCATGATCCTACCAAACTAACACCCCGGGGGGATTTTTTTTTCATCCTGGCTTTAAAAATCACGACGCTCACACGGGGCAGATTGCTGACAATAGGCCGAGTGCAGAACGTGCAGATATCAATGAAAACTACCTGACGTTTTTCAATTCGCGTCGCGGCGTATTCAGGACGCGTTTTGATTCTTTCTTTTTGGGGAGAGGGTGTCCATTTTTAGTCTTCAGAACGCGCCGCGATAAATGTCACGATTATTAAAAGAGCTCTAGATTAAGCATTAAAGAAGACTTTGACTCCTGTGAACATGACGTGGCAAAAAAAGTGTCGGGGCGGTATGGAAATTACTGTTTTAACAAACTTACCGCACACTTGTTATCAGCCGATTAAAAAGACACGGGAGGTAATAGTTTTAACTGTAGTTGAAGAGAGAGAGAGAGAGAGAGAGAGAGAGAGAGAGAGAGAGAGAGATGAAAGTAGTTGGTGGAGGTAAAACAGTACAAGATAAGGTTCAACAAGCCGGTAAAAAAGCCGGTAAAAAAACCAACCCCTTTAAATTTCCACTTTGCAGATCCTATTTACACGTACATACACAGAAAGAAGGACAAGCGCAAACATACCACTGGGCCCTAGAATATAGAAAATAGTATTTCCAAACTATTTTAGAATCGTGTATTTTTCACTATCATTCATATCATTTTTGTGATCTTAATAGAAAGGCTAGAACAAAGAAAATGTCATACATACATACTACCCTATACCAGGGCGACAGATTGATTTTCCACAGATATTCACAGATATGTCTATGGATAAGTAGACAGTCATTTTGGCTCTCAGTCGATTCAGCAAAAAATGTCCACAATAATAATTGCAGCCCTGGTAGAGGGTACATACATACATACATGTTTCTATTATTTTACTATTATTATTATGGGTGGGCGGGACTTTTGGTAGATTCTAAAACCTCTCATTTGAATCAAGAACTGGAGTGCCAGCCACTCTGGTTACAGCAGCTTTGATACCCATTATCCAATTTTTTGGTATAAATTAAATAAATGATTTCAAATATTCTTTCCTTTATATACAATAGTAATCGCTAAACCATATGTATAAAACTCGTAAATTTATCCGATTACGATGAAGAAACACAGCTGTCAGTGGAGAAAAAAGGTGAAAATAAGGAGTTAATCAGGAACGGGGAGAAGGTGACCCTTATATATGGGACTGTAGACCTCCTTTACGGTTTTTGTAGAAGGAAGTTTTAAAATAATATATAAATAACATCAACATGCCTTGAAGTGTCATATATATATATATTTATACTAGTGCCGGTATATGCTCTTTCTAGAAAAAATGTCAATAAATAAATGATAAATAAATCTCTATATGGCCATTACGCTGTTATCTATTTTGAAATAGTAGTCCTCAAAGGTCAACGAGACCTTGGAGATATAACAAGGTCAAGCTAACTAGTTTTCGTGACCTTAGCCCAGTTCGTGGATAACCCCGAGTAAAGAGTTCACGGGTCCTTTTACGGCTCTGATGTGAAGCCACGCTTGGTTTTATCCATATGGAAATTCAAGGGTTTACGTACTGTGGGATTGCCAGCACAATTAGCAGGCTTAATGAACCATGTCTGTAACTTCTCGTGTTAAAATTGAGTGGTCTTTTAGATAATTTGGGCAGAACAGGATAGCCACAACCTTCCAAAGTGCGGAGAGAAAACATGTCCCGAGCTGCAGATTTTTAGCTCGGATTGCTGAAATGGTTAAATTATTCTACCCATAATATATAAAATCACGAAGCCCAGAATCAACCCAAAAAGCCACCAAGAGAGCAGTTAAACACACGAGCAAATCAGTTTTTCGTCTGGCGTTTTTGTCATCTGAACCTAAACCTGCAAGAGCCGTCGCCAGGGTGCGTTTAAACGAGGTTAACCCTGCTCCTATACAGGTAATACTATACAGGTGAGACGATAAGCGGATCTGGTCTGGGCAATCGTCTGGGGTCGAGGTTTGATAACAGACGAAGCTGCGCAAACATAATTTCATCATGTTTTACACGTTTTCCACTCACAGTTAAATGCCAGAGTTCATACAGATCACTTCGCCTTATCTGGACTCTTATGCCGACCAAGAAGTTGGAACTACTTGTGCCGACTGAAAGAATTTCTCTATATCAGTCAGCACACGAACTAAGTAAAAGGTCTTCAACTATTTACTGGCATCTTACCATTGAAAATAAATGCTAACAATGACTGAACGAGTAGATGCACGTTAAAAGTCCAATCTCTGTCACATATTCTATTCATTTCATATTCTGCTTATTTTACGCTTTTAGTTACCGTAGAATCAAATACAATATTCCTAACTTCTCAACTATCCGAAAAACAGAAATTATTCAATTTCGGCAGAAATAAAGTAGGTCTAGATGATATCAGTTTTTGGTATATGGTAATGAGTTTCTAGTATTTGGCCTTTGTGTAATCGCTAAACCCTCAAACTTCAACCACATCCGCTTGCTGTAAAGGAAGACCACACTCAATGAAAAATATAGTTTTAATCTGAAATGAACCACAAACACGTGGAGTGGGTCACGTACCAGAGATCCCCATGGTAGAGTCCAGACCCTATTGGTTTGTACAGGTAAGCCCAGGTGTGACAGGAAAGGAAGTCTACTAGGAACCGTACTCCGTTCCCATCTTTTTGTACAGGTGACATTCGTCCCATATACTAACCCCAATACAACCCTGGGGGCGTCTCGATAGTCCGAAGGTTCATTGGTCCGAAAAATAGTAACGTTTTCGTCCTTTTTTTTTTTTAATCAAGGGTTCATTGGTCCGAAGGTTCCATAGTGAACATTCGGACTATTGCTACGGCCCCTCCACCCTTCCCAACCCTAACCTGTACTAATCATATGGGACCCCGGACGTCCATTCTGTCACACCGGTGTCAAGTACCAGACTCCCAAGAGAGGGCCCGTTCCTATCGATTTGTACTGGAAAGCCCGGTCTTGATTTGACCCATTTACGTCACGCTTACCTACCCTGCACGGACCTTATGGAGGGCGGATTCTCTGTTACACACACCCTCAATTTCCTCACACCAATATTTAGTTCTTAGTTTTGCAGGAGAAAAAAAAAACAATAATAAAATCAGCACATCTTAATCCTGTGAATGAATGCACTCGAATAGTTTTGCCAACACAATAACCGTGCATAAAATTAATGTCATTTCCCAAAACTTGAAAAATAGAGAAACAACAGTAAAACAGACTGTATATCTAATAGCATTTATTCACCTAACAGTGTATGTACAAAGAAAGTAATTTCAACAAACCACATAGAATCTTTCAATGTATGACCCCTCTCCCTATTTCATCAAATTTGGATTTTGAGAAAACATGGTGCAAAAATTGCAACAATAATCTGAACCATCATGAAAGAAGACGAAAAAAAAAAATGAAAATACCAAAAAAACCTTGTGCTTGGATGTGAACTTGCCCTTCCTCGGGGATTACATTGTGACCCTCCTTTTGTGTGTATGACAATGATACCATTAAGAATAAAATAACTGATGTTTTCACAGATACATTTTTCACCAGCTGAGAAAATGACACCAGCCGGTGTATCTTCTATTCTGAAATTATATCTAGCTTGGTGCAGTATCTAAAATTCAATTTTTTCATAATCCACACAACTCTCTCTCTTTCTCCTTTGGTCTACTCCTACATTGCAACTGTTATAAAAAAAAATTCAAAGATATAAAACAAAAATTTGCTGACCAGCACTGAGGAAGAATTGCAACATTGCCACATGTAAGCTACAAGTATGACTGCCATGAACACGCGCGAGTTATTTACATTACTGGCTTCCGTCTGAAATTACAACATAATAAAACAACTTTTCCTTTAATTTGCCTGTAGTAAAAAATACATTTTATAGAGTCAAACACTGCAGTATGACAGATAACAACATGTTGCTTCCATAGCATTCACATATATTAAAAGCTTCTTTTTTTAACTGAATACATCTTACATATAAAAGGGTCCACTACCACTGTGACTACGATCATAAGTTTACTACACCAACTTGATTTTCTTTACATTAACTAAGAAATGATCTTAATATACATAAAATTTATGCCATCAAGGCAATACAAAATTAAATTACTAGAGACGCTTTCAACTTAAAAGTCACTGTTAAAATAACTTCCAAGAAATAACAAAACAGCACTATTGGATTTGATATCATCATTCCACATGGCATCTAAGGCCTGGATGAAGAGGAAGTCTCTCACAAAGGAACCAAGTCAGTCTCCATGTATTAGAGGACTGTGCTTTTCTCAGCAGACGACACACCAGACCTTAGGGACAAGGCGGGGTGACTGCAGGCCATGGTGACCCCCCACCCCCACCCCTCCCTCCAACTTCAGACTCAGCGCCTCCGGTCTCTGGCTGACCTTGGCCTGCTGGTGCTGCGAGAACGTCGCTCCTGGATATAAAAATTTATATCATTGTTTTGCATTCGTCTCCATTTCAGTAAAATAAACATTAAATATTTTGTTTGTGCCTTCTTCCAATTAATGTGGTGAACATAATGTTACATATATTATATTATATTATATTATATTATATTATAATATAATATATTATATTATATTATATTATATTATATTATATTATATTATATTATATTATAATACAAACCTCCTTCTTGGTTCTGTCACTGCGTTCTTTCTGCCTCTCCTTCTCTCTCTCCTTTTCTTTCTCCTTACGGTTATTCTCTTCCTCCGCTTCCATTTCTTTACGTCTCTTTTCACGCTCTATGCGTCGCTTTTCTCTGTCTTGTTCCTTTTGCTTGATCTGCAAAATGGACATGTTCAAGGATTAGTATTCATTAGCAGGGCTCAACCCCTTAGTCTGCGACTGACACCTCTAGTGAAGAGGAAACGGTTTACCGAAAACAGACAAGATGTCAGAAATGTAGAGTGAGGCACTTTTAGGCATGTTCAGACACTCAGGCTAAAATCATTTGCAGTCCAAAACATGTCAGCTAGGAGCCGAATCACCACTCCAAGCTGATAGTCTTCCACCAAGAACACACGCAGCCAATTCATTAATTTTTCAAAGTCAAGTCTACTGAGAATATTTTGTCTTGCAGAAGATGATCTTCATCTTCCCACTTATCTACATGTCCAAAATTTGCAATGTACACCCCTTTCAATCACAGTCAATGCACCTCATATTATCCCCTATGCCCGTGTTCCTCTCTGGTTACCTTTCCATCGACCTTGACCTAGAATTGTGTCGGCGGATCTTCACCCCACTCACTCATACACATACTCTTTTCTCCATGCCACGTGTGAAGAGGCTTTTCAAAGAGTTCCACCACCAAATATATATTAAGCTAAATAAAGTAAAACCATTTAATGAGAAACACTCAAACTTTCAGTCACCTGTTCCTCTGTCAGTGGTAGCCAGTAGATGCAGGGCGTTGCTTTGGTTTTACGGAATAAATCATCCAACATCTTGGCTGGCTCCTCCTCTTCTTTCTTCTCTCTCTCAGCTCGCTCTGAAAACAGGACAGTATTCTTCTTCAAAAATCACAGACATTGTACAATTGTGTTTTCTTCTGAATCAGTGAAGTGACTATTTTCTCTCTAAACAAAATAAATCTTTTTTGCCAATAAGCAATAAATTCAAAATATTACTTATGCGTTAACTTTATTATAATGGAGAAATTTTATATGGTTAATTACACAGCCAAATTGATAACAAATACAAAACATAGTCAAACTAACAAAAAGGATACCTCCTCAATTTTTTATTTCAAACCTTTCTAAAATGCTTTCAGTAGGATGCCTCGTGGTTATAGGAAGTGACACTTTCACAACATACATGTACCTTTTCTTCTTTCTTCCCTTCTTCTTTCCCTCTCTGCTGACCTTTCCCTTGATTTTGACCTTGACCTAGATTTCTGTTTCAGCTTATCACGGTCCCACTCACGCACATGTTCCTTCCTGCGTGCTTCCCTCTCCTTCTCTCTATCTGCCTCAGACTTCTTGCGCTCACGGCCACGATCTCGTTCACGATCTCGTTCCGTTCCCCTATCCTTAGGCTTTGTGACATCTTGTTTTATTTCTCTTTTGATGTCTTTAGGTTTTTGGGCACCGTCCTTGTGGAAGCTAAGCTGCAAGAAATTATATTTCAACTTATATATCATACAACACCTGACACTGCTTTCCCTCACAATATTAAAACTCCACACACTAAACATCTTTTTTTAAGTCAAGGACATGCTGTAATTTTTAGACTGGAGAAGATCATATTGCAGAAAGGAAGAACTCCAAGGAAAGGTAAAGAATTACACATCTGAAACTGTTAGTTTTGTTGATGTTCATTATAAAAAAATTGGTGTTATTCATTGTTCATCAAACAATGATTTTCATTTATCCTACATCTGTCAAATGTGGTACTGAGCTCCATTCAACCCATCTTTACTCTTTTTGATACAAAAACTCCGAGTCAAAAAATAAGCCAAATCCTCATTATCCCCATAACATTTTACGTAATACACCCTTTCTTTGTTTTCATAGCAAATACCAAGCAAACTTTTTGAACCACAACACCCAGAATGAAATCATCAACGGTGCACCTTGCCCCCACCTGTGTAAATACAACCCGAATGTCAGGGTAGTTAGCATGCACCTTAAAACACATGCTGCTTGAGGTCTATTTCAAAAGTCTTAAATTTTTCCTTTCACACAACAAATGGCAGAATCCTCATTTAGAGCCAGTTAAAGCTCATACCATAACTTCTTCGAAAATGTTTTTTTTTTCATGCATATACCAACACTGAGATTAAAACAAAGACAAACTGAATCAAGATCCTACATTTGCTAAACATTTAACATACCTCATCCTCTGTTGCAAAATCCACACGTAAAATTTTTGGGTTGGACAGAGGCCATCTTGTTCCATGTAATGCTTGCCTTGTCTCCTTAGCCTGTTCTTCTGTCTCAAACTGAAAATTGAAAAAAAAAAAAAAAAAAAAAAATTAAACAATTACCTAAATTATACTCACTAATTATTTTTATAAATTACAGTGATACTCTTTAAAAGGCACAAAGAGGGCAAAAAGTTTTTAAATCTACATTTTTTAATCAATTTATACCTATTTTAAGTTGGGCTACGAATCAAAGACTATAATAAATTCTTGGGCACTAAGATAAATACAAAATTCTTATATCCAGTTCATTCATGAGACAAGATTACTTGGGTTTTTTAAAATCTGTAGAGGTCAAAACAACAGTAGACCTGAATCAAATCTTTAGCCAACAGATCTAATTACATTTTGATACCAGATACTAAAGATGACAACAAGATTGGGATAATTGTATTATTTGGTCTGGAGGGTACTTAAACTGCTCACTACGTTGACATATATATTAGATAACAGCAAATTTTACTGTCTACTGCCTCTGAGGTAGAGGTAATACATGTACATGTAATAACACCTGAGAACTATGGGGCCAAAAGTTCAGTAGAGCAGAATAATACTAAATTGGAACTGATTACATAGGGAAAGGGGTCTTCTTGTTTGTAAATTGTTCGTGGACAGGTAAATTAACAGGTGGAGCCAATCACTGGTAAAGGCATCCTGTTATGCGTCTCATTATGTATGCTGTGTTATTGTGAGGTTGTGTCAAATTTTCAAACCCACACATTGTGGATTACTAGATTTATCTTAACGAACTTGACGCAGGATGTCGATTCGTGCTGCAATCAATTATTCTTTCAAATTGCTCCGAGTCATGTACTTGCCTAATAAGGGAGAATTTTTGAGCTAATTGTCTTTGACAGCTACCAGCCTTATTAATTAGCGGATGTCAAATTCTTGATAATACCTTAACAAGCCAATTAAACGTGCTATTTCCGCATTCACACAAACGAGGCACTTCATCAGAAAAAAAAAAAAAAAAATTAGTGGCACTTCTAACCTAAGTTTACTTGTCATCTTAAAACAAACATGATGCTGCTAATTTGACAAGAAAACTCCAATTGTTTCTTTCTGAACACTTACAGTGGCATAGCAGTGGGACTTGATGTTATCTATCCAGAACCCATCCTCCACCAGTGTTCCCGTCTGGCCCAGTAATGTCTTTAACTGTCCCAGCGTATACGGCCGAACCAGGCCCGTCACATGGACGATCTTACTGACAGGGTGGCGCGGCGGTGATGGTGTCCTTCTTGCTGCCTCAGGGGCGTCTGGTGCAGGAGTGGTGACTGAGGTTTGCCGGCTAGCGCGACGGATGACAATTTTTGTGTCTTCCTTGGCTTCCTGTGGCTGGCTATCCCTGCTGTCCTCACCTTGCTGAGGTTGGGGTTTTCTGTCTTCCTCGGACTCCTCTCCCTTGTTGTCTCTATTACTATCATCTTCCATTTCCACATCACTTTTGTTGTTGTTGTCTCCATCTTCACCAACAACCTGTGAACAGATTACAGCACACAAAGTTATTAATAACTACATTATTTTCTGCTGACTTATAAATTGCTGATGATATATAACACACATATTTTCTCCTACTTTTTTAAGGTAACATACATCCACATACATATTTACCTCCAGGAGTTATCATTTTGTGCTAATGGAAAAATTAATTTCAGGACACCATATTCAACTGGTGAAACACCTTTTCAACTGCCAGTGTATGGTAAATATACCTGAACCATGCACACGGTTCTCAGTTAGATGAATGATTGCTTTAGTTGTGCTTAAAACAATTCCTCTTCGAGTGAATATCATGCAGGTACAGATTCTATTTAGAATCATTAACACTGGGCAAGGTGGGTGATTTTAGCAATATGGTACTGAAAATGACATACCAGTTAGTGCTAAGAGACTTTGAAAAGATAAAAGGATTGTATACTTTCTTTTCCATGACATTCTGAATGCCCGACTTCATCTGAAAACTCGTCTGCGCAACACTTTAATCTGAACACTCACCTGTGTAATAGTTCTCTTAATCTGGACATCTCTCTTGTCGTCGTCCTGGTCAGAGATCTGTCCAGCGTCCACATCTAGGACACTGTCCACGGGGATGGACTTCACCTCAGCAGGGATTAGGTTCTGGAAGGAAAAGGGAGGTGCTGGTAAAACAGGACTAAACCAGAAATGAATAAAGTAGTAATTTTTTATAATTAAGAAGTAGAAATGATATTGTTAACCTTGATGAAGAAACTTAGACATGGGAATTTTGGAGGTAATATATACAATATGAGCCTTATTTAGATAAAGACCAGAGATCCATGTTATTATATTTATTCTATATTATACTTATAATTTATTGTAGTCATTTGGTTAGATTATTTATCAATAACTGAAGCACCTGAAAAGAAACAAAAATTAAAGACAACGAAAAATGATGATGAGACATAATTGTTAATATGTATGCAGATTACAGTGATGGTAGTGAAATCCACAGTCCATTGAGGTGGGACATTTTAACCCCAGTCAGCAGACTCACCTTTAGGGACTCTGTGGTGAGACTGATGCTCCTCCCAGCTCCCTTCTTGTTGGCCTTAGCAGTGGTCCCCCATCTACGCTTCTTCACTGGCTTTTCCTCTGCCGCTCCCGGTGACTTCTCTGAGCTGTCATGGTTCTCTTTGTTTTTAGCTATGAAGTATTTATTAAATGTTCAACTAAATGCACACATTAAAAATACTTTACTGTACTAAAAGAAATCCGTCGATCTTTTGATTTATTTTTAAGTCCTGAAGTGGTTTAAAACATTGATGATATTAAGACAAAGTGTCACCACAGAAAACTCTTGCCAAAAAACTTTTTTTCAATTTCTCAACAATGCTATTTAATCATCAGTCAATTTATCCAATCACTTCGTTCATTATTGCTGTACATCCCAATTTCATTTCTCACTAACTATTTCCCCAAAACAAACTTACAGGTTAAAGATATCTTTCTGGTTTGAATCTTTGCTGGGGGTTGCTTTGCCTCGGCAGGGGTCCCTTCTTTCTCGGCAGGGGTTGCTTCCTTCTCTGCTGGGGGTACTTCCTTCTTCGCAGGGGGTTCTTCCTTTTCACCAGGAGGTACTCCCTTCTCTGCTGGAAGTTCATCCTCCTTGGGGGTCTCTGCTTTTTTAGACTTGGTAGGGGCCGTCTGTTTTTCTGGTGTTTCCTGGGACTTTCTGGTTTGTATTTTTCTAGGTGAGGACCTCTTCACTGGAGCCTCCTAAAACACATGCTCAACGTTGTGAAAGGGTCATATATTGGAAGGTACTGGCCCCTTTGAGTCAACAAGACATTTTTATCTATATCTATCTGTATCTGGTGCTCACTTATTATGAAATGCATAATTATGCAATGTGTTGGATGAGGAGTTGTATTATTGCAGAGGTCCAAAAATATCAGTACAATCTATATGTATATTTCTTTTGCAGTATCAAGTTAACCACAACTGTCTGAAACATTATTTAGTGTGTGCTTTGTTGATTTTTACAGGTCAAAATTAAGACCAATGCATCCTTTTTACAATAACTTTATCCTATTTCTTTCAAAAACAATTTCCAGTCAGTTCTTTACTTTCCCATTTAATAAAACTTTTTTCCATAAAGCTTTTGTGATTATTTGAAAATGTCACTGAAGTGCTGTGGCAACATGTGCAAATTATGATTTCCTGATCAATGTCATATCTGCATCTCTGGAATTCTTGGTCAACTGTTCAACTATCTTCGTCACCTAGAAATCAATTCAGTTTTCAGTGAATTATGAGCATGTGAAAGCACAAGGCAGCTCAGACACAGGAAGCAGCCACCAACCTTGCTCTTTGTGTGCTGATCTGAAAGCTGAAGGAAAAAAAAACAACGTTAATCAAAAGCTTTGGTACCGGAACTTTCTTCTCAGTGACATCATCATCATCATCATCATCATCATCGTCTCAACTCCTGCCTCTGCTCTGGTACAGCCCAAATTTATTGTCCATGTGAGTCATAAAGGGTTGGGGGGAGGGGCAGGAAACATCAGCTCTCTATCGACTTTGTTCTTTCTTTCTTTCGATCTGTAAATTTCGTGTCAGCATTCGATGTTCTTTTTCTGGTAGAATTTTCTCCAAGTCGGTTTTGACTGACAGTCTTGTTACATCCATGTTTGTGTCATGGGTAAGTGAAGATAACAATGTTCACTATATTCCACAGCGGCATGATTGTATGAATGAGTGTTCATGGTCTTCACTTCCTTTAAAAGGAAGACTTGAGTCTTAAGCTTTGTCATGGTTTACCAAAACTCAAAGTAAAACCAGACACATGTATTTAGTCTTTTCTTTTCTTCACTTATTTATAAGCAAGACTTTAATATTAGGTTTAACTTTAGTTTCTTCACTCACTTATAAATAAGACTTTCAAAGATGACATAATCTCAATGATTTGTACATCTTAAGTGTCTGCTTAGACATAGTGATTCATGTCCAGCAATATTATGTCAAATCAACAGAGTTCACACTTAAACAGGACTGTCTGTTAGCACTGTCCTATCAGCTCAATAAGTAGCATATTACTGGCTGCTGGCATTCAAGACATGAATAAGAGTCTGTAGCTATCAAAGCTGGCATCCCTAATGTGGACTCTTTCCTCTTATTTGAGACTCTCAGCAGTTTTTTCATCTTCAATATAAAACTTGCAGCATTTCTGTTTGTGGTAGAACTTCAGGTAATTAGCGCAAAGAACTTGATGAATACATCCATAATCAGAAAGTTTTCCAATGTCTCTTTCATTTTTCTCGTACGATACCGTTCCCATTTTTTTTCTTGTTGCAGCATAGATGACGAATAGTTCTCAAGAAAGGAATCCAATGTTCTTGCATTTGGTGGAATAGTCAAAATAGAGCAAACAAAGTCCATTCCATGTCTTCTTCGGTCATATCAAACAGTCTTATTGATGAAGTCTTGACATCTTAAAGATATTAAGAAAGTCTGTTCAGTTTTCTATGATATCAGAGCTGCATTCTTCTCTCAGGTTTTGCTGTTGTTTTCACTGGGCGGGGCACTTTTTGGGGCATGGGATTGGCTAGAGTTAGCCAGAGGGTGGCTCCACCTATTCTTCTGTGATGTCTCCAGGGATCTTCAAGGCAGGGAGGAAGGATCAACTCTTATCTCTATCACAATATTTTAAGACATAATTTCTTTTTTTCCTTAAAATAACTACCAGAGTAATTTTTACAAATATTCACTTAATGACTGGAAATTATATACATAATAATATAAATGCAGAGCTGATAAAACCTTTACGAAAAAATCCCAGACATGCACATTGATTGGTGAACAACCATCTCACTGTAACACTACCTTTTCACTAGTTTCAGTTTCCATGGCAACTTCCTCAGTATTAGTGTCAGTTTTCACTGGTTTGTCACCTTCACTTGGTGTTATCTTGATTTCCTGGTTGCCATGCTTGGCTTCTGTTTCCTTGGTAACAGTTTCTACTTCCTTGGCAACTGCTGCTGGTGGAGGTCTGATAATATAACACAGATTATCAATACTGACTAACTAATGAACCTGTGACTGAAATAGTAGACTCTGAGATATTTTTATAGGATAATACTCATAAGTGACAAGTTGAATATGGTCTCAGTAGAATTATATTTGAAAGAAAAATAAAATGAAATAAGGTGAGGATCTGATGAACATTCTTAAGTGTTTCCAAGTTAGGAAAGATCAATATATATTCAACACAAAAGACAACTGGAGAAATTGTGAATTTATTTTCTACACTGTGTATTCAGATAAGGTTTAGAGATACCAAAGACTACTGCAAAAATAATACATTTATTTTCTATGGCATGTATTTAAGACTACTAGTAGTTTAATAGAGATCAATGGCACGCTATTTCAATATAGAACTCACTCTTCCTTATCCTTTGTGTCCTGCACATCCTCAGGGGCTGTGTGGTAGCTCTCGTCAAGACTCTTGGTCTGGACAGCTTCCTGGAGGGAGGAAAACATATAGCAGTCACATATTAAAAGTTCTTATTAAGAACCTCAGTCTGGGCAGTTTCCTCGGGGGGTTAAAAAGGAAATAACAGTATTTCTGTTGAAGGTTAAAGTGACATCAAGTGAGCGGCTGGCTCAATTTGCCATGCTGAAGGGTTGGATCTTATGACACTTTGAGAAACTCTTTTTTTATCGACCATATGTACTGAGAAGCTTGAAGGTAAAAGGCCGGAAATATCTTCCTTTACCCTTCTGTTCACATTTCAAAGCAAGAACTAGCAGCAACAGCAAATCCCTGCCATATAATATCTCTTGTACTCACTTGTAATAGCAAGTTTATTTAGCACAAGCTAGAATTTTCTCACAGTCACCTTCAGCCAACCAGGTTGGAGGCCTTCATCAGACTAATTTGAGTAGATGTTGTTATTCACAGACTGCTAGGTGGTATAGTGGCCATAATCCTATTATTAATGTCTGGTCGGTAGATCAACCCCCCCCCCCCCCCCTTCAACATCTAATCATATCAGTCATGACAAAGTCCTCCAACCAGGCTGCTGAACATAAGCTTGCAATGAGATAAATTCCTGTATGTGCTACACACTTTACCATTATAAGATCCAAGTTATAGGCTAATAAGCATTTACTCATTTACTCACTTACTGCATATATATTTCATCATTCCTATTGTACTAATCCACCGATATAATCAACCGTACTCAAAGCATAGGAACTCATTCATACTCATTCTCAATAACATAATGTCATTAAATACCATTTAGAAGACAACACACCTTTTTCTTTAATTGTGTTGTCCTACTCTGTACTTTACCCCTCCTCTTGGGTTCTGGAGAGCTAGATGAGGAACTGGAGGAGCTTGACCTAGATCTTGATGACCTTGACCCAGATGACGACCTTGACCCAGATGAAGAACTAGACCGTGACCTTACTGGAGCCTTGACTTGTGACCTGGTCTTCCTTTTTCCTCCACTATGAAAGTGAAAAAAACAACAGGTAAAATATGTTGTAGAGGGGTTGACTTTCGGGGTTATCTATTTTTAACATCATTTTCATAAGTCTACAAAGAGTGGACTTTTTGAAGACCCCCCAATATGAAGGGTAAAAATGATAAATTTTATCCGCACTACCCTGTGGGTGAAGATCATCATTTTTATTATTTTTCCAAATGTGTCCAGAGGGCATTAACCCCCTCCCATCCCTCAGCATACTGTTTGTAGACTTGTGAAAATGATGATAAAGAGGATGACCCCTTATATGATTAGCAAATAATTTTGCGTAACTGAACATTATATGGGAGACGTATGTGCTTTTCTAAGGAAAATATAAAAAAAAAAAATTCTGGAATAGAAAGCAATTACTAGTACTGACACATCTATTTTCAGAAATAAATAAACTTTGCTTTCCTGCAATCTCCATAATATGCAATTCTCTCGGTCTCACCCCATGCTTTATTTAACAAACCTGACAAAGTATGTCCCCTTCCACTCTCTATACACCCCCTTCTTCTCCACATCACACCTGTGTGCCTTTACCTTACATTACATCCTTCAGAGATACAGCTAATACTTGCATATTTATAGATTACACTCAATATAGAAGGTCTCTCTATATATGCTACATAAAACAGAAGCAGCAGGCTGGTGATTGTTTTATAACACTATCAACCACTCCACTTGAGCTGATATTCTATATCTATTAATATGTACCCCCAGTTTCATTCCAGCTGAAGGTAATCTTGTTTTCCTAGATACCCCTATAACCTAAAGCTAAAAAGGCAGACAGCCAAGCAAGAAACGGATAAATAGATGGTTGCCCTAGACAACTAGAAACCATGGTACTATTATCGTAAACTTATTAATTATCTGACTATTGCAACATGATGGAAATCCACTGTATAAGTAAAATGCAAAAGAAAATGTTTGCTGGAGGCATGTTGTTCACACACTTCTCAAGACTGCTACTGAATCGGTCCAAATCCAGGTCTGACTCAGCACTGAAAGAAAACAATCCTGAAGCTAAACCCAAACTGGTCTAGACCTAAGTGTCATCAGTAGTAAGTCTATTTCTTTCACCAGAAATTTGTGAGTCAAAACCCCCAGTTACATCTCCCTTCGACATTCCCTTAATTAATAAACACCTCTTTATGAAATTAATCCTAGATTGGTACATGGTGAGGATGGTCTAGAGGATGGTTTCTGCAGGGCTGAAGCTGCCAAAACACTAGCAAGATACTGTCTGGTGATGTCATTTAGGCCTAAACCAGTTATGGTTTAACTCTGCTTCTTATCCCTGCACTGCCTTGAAGCATAACATATATCTAGCCAATGGAAAGTGGGTGCTATAACAAGGCTGCCTTATATATGAACATGTATTTATAGATATTAATATATTTTTATGTATGCTGCTTTGCACAGTTATCAGTTGTCTATATTGATTTAGTATACACTCAGTCAACTGCCAACATGTAACTATATAATATGTACTGTTGTGTTTACAAGGGGTCCAACTTAGACTGGGAATAGCTCTGTTCACACAGGGCCTAACTTAAACTGGGAAAAGCTCTGTTCACAACAGAGACAGATCAGTAAGTACTCAGATAATCCATTCTGAATGAAGCCTAACTATGAGAAAAGGCCCATTTTAAATATGATCAAAACCTTACCTCCTCCAACTAATCTCATCACCTTTATTTTCTTAAATAATTATGAGAGATTTTATATGTGTTTCAATCCAAGCAAAGTCAAACAAAATTGGTCCAGTGAAATGTGATGGTTAAATCCTCTTTCTGAGCAGGAAGCTTAGGTTGTGAGAAATAAGAACAGAAACCAAGAAGATCACATTCACTTCGGGTTGGTTAGTTATCAATGTAGACTTTTAAAACCATGCGTAGGAACAGATCTAAGAGGATTGTGCTCATATTGATATTCATCAGCTTATCTAACAACCTGAATATGTTTCATTCTGTTTATTCTACAGTATTGATAATTGGTGAATTTCCCAGTGACATCCTTGAGTTAGCATTTTTGTTAAATCAAAATATAAACCCATACAACATCTGAATTGGCCAGGGCCCCGTAACTCGAAAATATCGCGCATTGGGACCGAGCGCAAGCGTCTCGATTCCATAACTTGCCCATACTCGCCTCATAATATATATAATACATTGTAGCCTCTATGTGATATCGCTATTTGCAATACGTGATGCTTTTGAGTCACAGAACCCAAGTTACATGACATCATGCTTTGAGTGCAACATGCCACCTTTTTAATCAGGTACATTTTATCTATTATTGTAAAAAAGCTTTTATATTAAGAATATTTTGGAATGTCATTTGTCACATTCCCCAGCTAAATCATACCAGTAGGAAATATTAAAAGATTTCTGATAATTTTCCACAATAGCAGCACTCAATTAGAAAACTAATCAATATATATACAGGAGCACTGGTCATGTGACAATGATAGCCTTCAGACACAATCAGACCAAATTTGCTCAGATATTGAATTATGTAAGATAAAAAACTAGTCCTTATTGCCTCCTCTGTTACATTTTATTGGTAAGAATTTATTTCTACATAAACAATGTTGTCAATGACATGATGTAGCAAACACGGCATGCCTTTAGCCAGACACACAGGAACAACACCAACACAAACTTGAAGTGGACAGACACATAATACTACCACCCAGTCAAACTTTTTTAAAATAATTGAAATATATATTATTTCACCACCATAGCATATCCTCTTTTTTTCCTGCATACAAGTCAATATATATCCATTCCATCACTAATTCTAGGCCCCATTATATATAACAGCATAATAAATGGCATGAAAAAACCCAATACATGCAACAATCACTGATATGCATGCCCTAAAATACCCAAGATAATACACATAAACATGTACACACATATACAGTGGGAAATATAACAGGGACATGAGTATACCCAAGAAATTACACATAAACATGTACATACATACACAGTGGGGAATATAACAGGTACATAAGTACTAAATTCAGAGGGTAATTATATCAATATGGCCAAGCTACTTCCTTCTCGGGACTTGAAATAATTCACTCAACCATTCATAATTGATGTAGTGTAATATATTTTCCTTGACTGTTGCTTCAGTACTACAGACAATGAGGACATACGAGGTATAGTCTACACAGGAGAGACCACGTGCTCTAGCAGGTCGAACTCAAGGCTGACTGCTTTACTTACAGCTGTCTAGCTACTCTGGCCTTACTTTCTCCGTTGGTGTGAATGTCTGTGTGCTGAGGTTTTCTCTTTTGTAAAGTCTTGGCCTCCATCTTAGATTCACTACCACCACACTGAACAAACCCACATGGAAAGAGAGGAAGGGGAGGCTTCACAAGTGGGGGTGACATGTGCTCAGCATTCTATTTGAGGCCTCAGGCAAGGGGGTTACGTGCGTTCAACCAGAAATTACTGGTAACAATAAAATCTGGAGCATCAGAAAGAGAGATAGAAAAAAAGATAATATAGATATTCTGTTATCTGTGGGTTTGCATGCAGGTCAACAGGTGTTCACTCTATTATCAGTGCAGCTTATTAAAAAAAATCATGTGCTCCACGTGGAAGCTGAGGCCTCAAAAGAGGGAATAACACAGTCATAATGAGGCACCAAAAGAAGGGGCATCACTGAATGAAACATGAACCTTCAACTGCAAGGATACCACATGAGCATTGTACTCAGCATATCATTTCTGTCAGATAAGATTAAAACAGTCATAAAATGGAAAACTGTAACATTTACTGCCTGAGAATAAATTCATGACATGTGAGGCCTCCTAAGGGAGGTGACAACAAATTGCTTTTTTGCAAAGTGAGGTTTAACAAGCAGGGTGAACATGTACTCAAAGTACAGTTGTCCACATATACTGAACACATGAAGTTAGGCTTCACAGGAAGAGCTATCATTTCATCAATGTACAAACTCTCCATCAGCACTGTGTGGGACACCTGACCTAGTTTAAGGTCAATGCCACAGTGGACCTGTGCCTGGGTGATGACTTGAGGTCTCCAGTGCACAAAATAGGGGCTCTCAAGAAGGGGAGGGTGAAGTGAGAATAATTTTAAACAATCTTTCACAGAAGGTTATATCACAGGCTGGCTTGAGGCTACCAAATTTAACTTTTTTTTAAATACTGGACACCCCCCCAACCCCAAAGTTGACCCAACCTGAGAAATGACATAGAAATTAGAGCCAGTTTATATTCAAAGGAGAGAGAGAGAGAGAGAGAGAGAGAGAGAGAGAGAGAGAGAGATGCTGAAGACAAAACAAATCCTTGGGATTTCACATCGGACACTATTATCCAGAATCTATACATTTCTGAATGAGACTGAATGTCTGCTATAATTCACTGGAATTATGTACACTAACTGACAATTTTTACCTTGTTCAATACTTATTTTAGACAAACGGTTGAAACCCATTTGTTGTTTATTCTGTCTTTCAATGTTTGCAAGGGCAAAACCACACAAATGTCAGATATTGAGGCATATTTTGTGTGGGAAAGGCTTCTCTTTGTTGTAGTGGATATTTTTGCTAATGAAAGTTTACCTACTATACTCAGCTCCGGGTTTTATTTTTCATTTTTTTTATCTGTTTATTCATATTTTTGGTTTTTCTAAAAAAAAGTCCAAATATTTTACTAGCTTGTTTCTCTTATGAAAAGAACGACATCAACTTTAACTCATTCAAAATCACACCTTAACATGTGTCAGTTTAAAAATAATGTTATTGTAGACAAATTTTAAGAAAAATACTCAATGGAGACCAAGTTGTTATAGTTAGTCAGTTGTTAAAGTGGTCTAAGTTGCACCTGCTGTAAACATGTGTTAAGTCAAGTTGTTAATGTAGTCCAAGTTGGACCTGCTATGAACACGCTATTACAGTTAGTCAGTTGTTAATGAGAATACCACTTATGCCCATGAACTCTGCCTGCTAACATCCACCACATGGCTGATAATGAAGTAATAGGAGGAGGCTTCTCTTACAGTAATTACAAAACCATTGTTCTCAGATGACTTTGGTCTCAAATAAAGTCCACATTTAATAAGGCTCTCTCCTTGCCATTACACACAATGTCAACTATCTCACAGTACAAACCTTAGCATATTCAAGAGACGTGGTACGTAATAAAATATCAAATTCAAGATTAAGAGTTTAAAAATGAATTTAATTGATTTCTTCACTTGTATATTCTTTGCAAGGGTATTAGCATCTCTTTCAACTTCGCTATACATAATTACGAGCTAAGGAAATGGAGGGGGGAGCTCTACGTAGTGCTTATGTATCTGATATAACTTTTCATGGGAATATCAGGCAAAGAAATATTAAAACTTCTATGATTTTAATCAAAAAATTTTACTTTAAACATGAACCAAAAATTGTTGGATGAGACAGTTCTCCCTACCTATGCAATAAAATTTGAAAACCCAAGTATTGCCAAATGGTTACCCCACTGAGAGCACCTCTGTAGCAAGGTTATCAGTTAACTATATCAGCTGATGGGGTCACCACACTGGGGAGATTACATGTGACTTATCACATTATTAACTGACGACTTTAGTGATCTGTTTGGTTGTGGTGGGGCAGGGGGGAGAGAGGAAGAGGAACTTTTTATCCAAATTTACTCAAAATATCTACATAAGAGAAAAAGGAGAAGAAAAAAGAGGGAGCNTTATCAGTTAACTATATCAGCTGATGGGGTCACCACACTGGGGAGATTACATGTGACTTATCACATTATTAACTGATGACTTTAGTGATCTGTTTGGTTGTGGTGGGGCAGGGGGGAGAGAGGAAGAGGAACTTTTTATCCAAATTTACTCAAAATATCTACATAAGAGAAAAAGGAGTAGAAAAAAGAGGGAGCGGGGGCGGGGGGGGGGGGGTTACCTTGACAATTTTATTTAAAAAATGTAACTTTTTTATAATAAAAATAAAACAAGGACGATATCTCCAGTTAAGTCCCAGTTCCTACTGACAAAGAATCACATTTTCATGCAGTAAAAGTAAAACAATTACGTCCATTGCATGTTACCATTTCAACAACATTCATATTTCTATTACAGAAGGGACATGTAATATAAGGTAATATGAGATACAAGATTTTCTCATTTGGATGAGAGATAAGTGATCATTTTCTATGTGCAATGATTGCATGACAGGAAATACGAGAAAATGATTGTATCTATTTGCAGGATCTCATTGCTGAGTGTTTCCAAGAAAATGTGGTTAAGAAAGATCGTGTTCAGGTCAAAAGCATTTGGATAATGAAACGTTAGAGAGATATGATCTGTTTTATTGATCCAAAAGAAAATGCTTCCCACCAAACACAGAACATTGCTACGTGACTGTTTTTTTTTTTGTTTTTTTTTTTCATTTTTAATATCCATTTATTTTACATATTCATTTTTGTGTACAGCTGTGTATAAAATTTCCTGTGTGAATGTGAGCAAAAATTTTAACACCCATCTGATATATTGTTTTGCTCAGTGGAAACAATTGCAGTGATAATTATGGTTATTTAAGGGCATACTCACCAGTTTATTTGCCCATTAAAATCTCTTATTTAAACTGTTGATTATGAACCAACACAATGTTAATTTTGTTCTTCTCTTAAACTTTATCATTAATTGTATACATGATCTCTTCACCTACCTCATACCAGCCACCATCATGCAAAAATCATCTGTTTTAAATCATTGACAATTTTGCTTTTCAATCTCAATAAGTGTAATCTGTGTCTTATTAATACAGTACTGACCTCATCATCCAACTGGCACAATTGTGTCTACGTATCTCAACCAACACAATGTTAAGCTTGTCTCAACTAATGCAATTAATCACAATTTTCTTATGAAATTGAAAAATACAGAAATGTATGCATGTTCAGCCAAATCTTTATTTTTATGATGCTGTGTATTGGTACAATATGTTGGTAGGCTTAGCATGGCATGACATCTGATTTTGATCCAGAAAACAATCCTGACGCAGTCACGTTTCTCAAGGTCAATCTCTCAGGTAATGACAAATTCAGATGTCCCATTTACGAGTTCAGGAAGTTTCCATTTACATCTGTGCAAATCTGGCAATGTGCCAAAACAACTTCTTTCTGATGACACACAATGAGAATAACACAGTCGTCAAATCCTGTATTTCAAGTTGCTTTAAATGAGGGGTTAAACTTGCTGGGCTGTCATCTAAAAATACTTCATCAGTTCTGAAGGCAACTTCACATTTCTGACATGTTCAAATCACTGCACGCAAACACATTTTCTGCCTCAGTTTTAGAATATTAACTTTTTTTTTCATTAAAATCCATCATGCATTATGATAATTTTATATATTTCAATGATACAGGCTTTATGTTTCAAACAAGGCATTTGTAAATTACCAAGTATTTATTTAATAAAAAATAACTTGCTGTATTTTATCACAAAAAATGCTTACTCTACTACTGTGTTTCATATGTAAACAGATATATTTGTTATCTGTCAGTTGACAGACTTGGGGTGTTTGACATGTATAGATTACACTGACAAAACTGAAATGAAACACTGGTGTTCCAGGTCCTTCAGTAGTGTGCTGTGCTTTCTCCAAACACTGAAAGTTATCAATTCATTACGGCAAAAAAATCACTTCCCATTGTTTAGTGATGAGGAGAGAAAAACACAGCAGGGGAAGGGAAAAAGAAAAGAAAATAGCCTCTACCACCACATACAAGATATAGCTCAAGCATGTCATTCAGAAAGTTCAAAATATGCAAATCACAGCCAGGAAAGACACTTGGTATCACCTAGTTAAATGATATAATCAGTTTAGCCAATCAGCAACCAAATGACATGCATGTCTATAGAACGAGCTTGACTGCTGCTCACCCAAGTTTCTGCCACTCAGTGCAAACCAGCTGCAGCACAATGCTGAAGGACCGTCAATGACTAGCCAATGACAACAGAGCCCAGCAGTAATGTGTAAAAACAGCTTTATTCACTCTTTTTTTTTGCTTTCTTTCAGTTCAATTATCTTTGAGGGATAAACTATTAAATTATTATAAGAATGAATGAATGAATACATCCAACAAAACATCATTTAAGATTTAATATTTAAAAATTTCCAACAGGAATTCATATCACTAATTATCTTAAATTATAAAAATAGTCAATATTTTAATTTTTTTTCTTTCGTTGTATTTTACAACACCTTGGCAGTAGCAGAACTTGCTTGAACAGCAGTCCCAGCTGTCATTATTCATTAAGAATAAAATGCAACCTTTAACACTAAAAACAAACTAGTAGAGATCTAAGAGCAAAAACAACAAAACATGTCACTGTACAGAATCCACCATAAAAATCCAGCACCTGTTAGAAAGATCTTCAGTGAAATTGACACCGTGTAGGTGGGTCAAAGTTCAACTTCAGGCCACCTAGTGGTGACCTAATTTTGCTGGGTCAAAGTTCAGGTCACACAGAAGTGCCGTGACCTAGTATTTTGGTTCCAGGAAGCACAGTGTATGATAGTGTTGTTTACCTGGGAGCTGCAACCTCTGGCGCCCTCTGTGGAGACGGAGATCTGGACCGAGGTTTCTTAGTGGGAGGCTCGCCTTCTTTGTCTTCTGCAATGACAAAAATATGTTAAGTTAGACAGTATAGCTGGTAAATTTACAGACACTGTGATTGGAATAAACATGCAGTGTATATAAAAATGCTGGATAGTCTCTGTTGCTACTGCAGCAGAATTTTAGTTGCACAATCAGACAAAAATCATTTTATTTTTAAATTCTTTTCAGAAAAAAAAACAAGGGCATCAAATGTTTGTGATGACAGAACTATAAAATATCTGAAAGCATATGCAAATGCAAACCAAACTAATTAAACCTAAGTACAAAATTAAACTAAGCAAAGACAAGCAATGACAGAAGTGAAAAATGCATTATATGACTGAATTGATCATTTTAGCCATTTTATCGTTTTCATTATTTTTCATTCATTCATTGAACACGTGGACTTCAGAACAAAATCACTGCTGTATGTTTTACCTTTCTTCTCTTCCTGTGGCAGTGGGTGGTCTCCTGATGCTTTCTCCTGGGCTGGTGATATTTCTTTCTCCTAGAACCACACATAACATACTATTAACAAGATCAATATAAATTTGAGACATTATTAAAATAAATTAATGTATTTAATATCACACTAGTTCCTCCAAATCTTGACAACCATGAACAAATATATATGATAATAATCTTTATTAACCTTCTACAAATGAAAATAAATCTCAAAGTACTCAGAGAGTTCTGTCAGGACAGCTCCATTCTTTTTATCATTATTAATTTATCATTTAAGGATGACTACGTAAATATAATTGGTGTTACGTTACTGTTTTTCTGGCTGATCCAAACAATTTCTTCAAAACCCATTCACAATTTTCTGAGTGAGTCTGTTAACCCACAGAGGCACACTATGCCCTCTTAGGTGGTGGTAATTACCCTTTTATTTTCTGTACAATTAAAGTAAGCACCTACCTTTGATTGTTCTTGAGAGGGTTTGGCTTCCTCGGCAGCTTTTTCATCTACCTATGAAATTGTAGGAAAAAAAATTGTAATTAATTTGAAGTACATTTTTTTCTTAAATTATGAATCTTGATGGTACAAACACAGGTTATTTACAAATACATAAACAGAATTGAAAAAAGATCAGGGATGTGATAAGGGAATGCTTAAAAAGAAAGATCCCCCCCCCCAATATTTTAATAATTTGCCACTGGACCCTTTTTTACCTAGAAAGACAAAAGGAGGGGATATACTGATAGGAGAAAGAAACTCTTCCTCTTAAACACTAACCTGTTTTTTTGCCTCCCCAGCCGATTCCTGAGCTGGCTTCTCTAGTTTCTCTTCTTCTTTTTTCTCAGATTTCTCGGGTGGTGCTGGGGTTTCTTTTTGTGGAGTCGGTGCCTGTTTCTCCTCTGATGCTGACTGCGATTCCTCTCCTGATGTCACATGACTATCGTCTGCACCTGAACTTGTTAACGCTTGCTCTTCTGGAAGTTGGTTACAGTACAAATGTATTTCTTCATCTTTTTGACAATAAGACCTATGCTCAATAGCCTTTTAAAAGCCATGTTATGGTAAATTTGAGCCAATTTAATAAAATTCTATCTCCAAGATGAATATTTTGGATAATTACTAACAGCTCAGTGCTTTTAATCATGCAGTTATTGAATCATCTGTTGGTGAGGTTTTATATAAGCTGGACTGAGAACTACTGTTGCTTTTTACTTGGCTGGTGGTAACATTTGCTGTATGCCAAATTAGTATTTAGATTTCTATTGAAAATATATCATCTAAAATCATTTGCCTTTTTTTATACCAGTTAGTGATAAATAAGCACTTGGACAATAAATCTGCAGGTGTGACCCAGAGAGATTGACATGAATTTTGTAGACAAATCCTATCTTTACCTTCCAGTTTTTTCCTGGCTTCCTTCTGTAAAGAATATGCCTTCTGCTGTTGTTCTAGATACTGTTTTATCAAGTCATTTGGAGCTTCATTTTGTAGCTGGTGAAAAAATTCAAAAGTATCCCTGTGTTAATCTTTGTCTATATAATGACCTATTTAGATGATTAAAAAAATTATATACATATTTCACATTTTACATGTCATTACTTAAAATTCCAAACACTTTGCCTTTTTTCATAAAAAAAAAAAAAAATGTGTATTTGGATAACACATAAGGAAAATATAGTCAAACATATAGTGAGTAACTCTGGTAAAAAGACCAGTTCAGCAATCATGAAAAACATAATACTAATCAACTCACATCAAGGTTTGGCACGTGTCCTTCTTCCACTGGCTTATTCCTGGCATTCTCAAGCAACAATTGCTGGAATTAAAAAACGTAATAAGTATATCTAGTATTATCAATTGAACTGGAAACAAAACCTATCAATTAATAGCTCTGTTAGACAGCAAAACCCTGTTTACACCTACATCATTTTTGGAATCACTATAGATAATACTCGAAATACGAGCGCCATTACCTAACACACTGACACATAACCTGTAGGCTGGGGTTTAAAATAAAAAGTTTAAAATCAAAATCAAACTCTGTCAAAATGATGATCCATTCTGTATCACTTGGTCCCTGGTTACTTTACCCTGGGCACACTGGACAAAGTCCCCTGGGGGGTCACTCCCCCTTTTCCAACCATGTGAGCAGGCACATTTTTGGGAGCGGGTCCACCTTTTCCCGCTGTGCTCACACCAGCTGCCATGGCAGGGTTGTGAGGGGGGTTCTGTGGGGGGTACTGGTACCCCCCTCTCCTGGCCATGTTCACATTCACTGCAGCTGCGCGGACATTCTGTACAGGAATGCCCCTTCCTCCAGGCACTGGCTGCTGCTGCTGACGAATATCTTTTACTTTCTTTCTGGGATCCATAACATCATATTAGTAGTGTTCATTTCCTTTTATAACTCTTATACAGAAAACCAAGCCCCCCCTGCCTCCAGGACAAAGAGTTCCGTTTAACATCTGTTTATCATCACCAATTGCAATCATTGGAAAGATGCGCAGTTGGCACATAGATCAATTCCCCTATGTGTCATGTGAACAAACACTAGGAAAAAAACATATGTAAGGTGTAATGGCTAATTCTACCTCACAATGTTTGGCAATGAAAGCAACATGACCATGTCTATTAGAATACCATGAAAAAAGACAGCTTTTTTGGGAGGGCTACTGACTTAATAGTTTTACAGCATGGGTAAATTTCACTTAGCACTTTACACTGAACATAGAATTTTACTGCCTTACATACTGCTTTTACACCACCTTATTTTCTGTAGAATCTTTTAAAATATAAATTTTGAGAGTTTCAATTAAGCTCAACTGCTTATTTCTATCAATTTGTCAATTTTCACAAGCAAATAAACAAGTGGCACAGAATAAACCCAATTCAATATACAACACACCTAACACAATGCCTTGGTAAACATGAAGAAACCATTCACAGAGAGCTTATCTCACCTACTGCAATCACGTTCCCAGAGCATAATGCCTTTGTACAAAGACAATCACTCACTTAATAACTACTATATCTTTATGTCTACTACTGGACACCAGCACTGGAAATTTAAGGAGTAATTAAATTAATTTTTTTTCATAATATTTGCTTTTTTTAACACTAACATTTCATCATTTTAAATTTCAATGGTTGCAGCAAGCATAAAGTCGACTGATGAATGAAAGGACCCAAACAAAAAGAACAAGGAAGTTATACTTTGAATTCTTGTAAGGAAATAGCAAGCTTGGTATGCTTTGGGTGACATAAATATAAATTCATTTATTTTTCATGCAGTTCCGATATAAAATAACCCCCAGTTTAATTGTGACATCGCGGTTAGCTATGGTCGACCAATCATGCTAAATTGCTAGGCTGACCTGCCCCTAGGCGTTTGGCTAATCTTAATAAATTTACGTTAATATATAGCGTCTATGGGAGTTGATCTGTGACTTTGTAGGAAATCGGAGTTGTCAGATAGTAAAGCTCCAAATGGCTTTGCGTGTGGGTTCAGTGGTTGATGTTTAATGGACATTCCCGCCTTTTGAATTTGGGGTTCGTAAATTAGGTCAAGAATCGTCTGAACAGCGTACAGGACCTCGAGACTTAGCAACATACCAGACAGCATACTCACCGCCTTCAACCGTTCTCCTAGCTGATTTTTGCTTCCAGCTTTTGAAAGCCCTCTCTTTTCAAGCTCTTTTTTGAGATCAACCACGCGAAGTTCCTTTAAAAGTTTTCCGCCGACAGTAAGTTCTCCGTCGTCCGCCATGATGCTGTGTACGCTTAATTCGGTTACTTCCGTGTCGATTCGGTAAACTTCGGTTTGTAGGTGGCACTACTATACTGGTACTGGCAAGAATGAATTGGCGTTGCTATTTGTTAATTGTATATTTTTCATTCTATTTCCTGGCATATGATATAAATATATATGTTGTTATGATAATGTTGCAATGGATTAATTGTATACAGTTGCAAGTTTAGAAAACCAAAAAATGAACGTCATACAAAACGCACCATCTAGTGTCGGGGACAGTAACTACTACAGCAACCCTCACGTTTCCAACTCCTAAGAGAAAAAGTGTTCCTATGTTTTTCCACCGGTAACACAATGGATGGAGGTACTGATTTAGGACGCAATTTACACAGTGCTCTAAGGGCTGTGGCAAATGCCGTCAAACTGGACCAAGATCACCACAATCAGGTGAGGGGAGACCGGAAGAGGCTGTCTCTGCTTTTCCCATCTCGCCCGCCTTCCCCTCTCCCCCCTCACCCCTCCTCCAACATAAAAACACACCCGGGGTTCATACAGCATTGGGAAGTGCTTGAATTTAGCCCTGTACCATTAATTTTGTTTGTGGCTTTGAAAAATACTCAGAATGGCTATTAGCCTAGAAAAGGACTTGTATTCCACAATTTGGTCATTGAAAGCACTTGAAATTGATCACTAATAAAGCAATCTGTCAAAAATCATTTCAAACATTGTACCATTGTTTCTCAACTGATTTAAAACAATGATTCACAGAAGGAGAGAATACCTTTTAAAAAATCATTCTTTTCATGTTTTATCATCATTGTTTTAAAAATAAAAAGATTAAACAAAACTATATATATATTTTTTTCTTTGGTATGAACACTTATAAATGACTGCATGTAAATGGTTACAATTGGGTTCAAAATTCTTGAAAATTACTTCAATTAGAACATTGAAAGTCCTTGAAAGTTATTGAATTTGTTCTGAATGTTGCTATTTGAATTGGCACTGACAGCTATTATTCGAGTGACATACGGCTCATTTACTGTCTCTCATTACTTTTGTAGGATGCATATGTGTATTATGTACAGTGTATCATGTATATAGCACAGAACTTACTAGACGAAATCAAAGGTGAGACTTGTAATGTGTGTACGAGTGAAGACATCTCCACTTACTTCCTCTTTATTGTTTCCAACATTCTTGTATTAATCCCCAATTTCTCTGTATATTTTACTCAATGCCAGTAGGTGTGTTAATCTGCTTATCTGCTTGTATTCAATGAGAGTCCCCACAGAAATGAATTGATGTACATACAACAATACTTATAGTTTCAATTTGGGAATGAGCTGTAAGTTGAGAATAAATAATTACTACTTACTATATATTGATGATTGAATTATTTAATATGGGAATGCAAAGGAATTGTTATTGTAAGTTTTTTTAATCATGCTTCACTATCACTTTAGCACCATCGCAGGAGATGACACATGTGAGGAAGAAGTTTGTGCAGCTGGGACAGAAATGTATGGAACGTCTGGGAGCACTAGCAGATGATGTTGGAAGTAAGATTTTACAGACTTCTTCAGTTTCTGAGTGTGTGAACTATGACACATGCTTATTTCTAGCATATCTATGCATAATGGTCAAGGTGGCTCTTACTTGGCACAAAATACTCCACTCAAAGATTTTGATTGTGATTTTAATTAATTTTCTCCAGTGATTTCTTTCCTTTTTCATTCTTGAACAATGATGCATCCTTTTGTGTATCCAGGTTATTTACAATGTGGGTCTGGTTTAAAAGGAACACTTTGTCATCCAATGCTGTAACAAGCCTCTTATATGCATACCAGCATGCATGCGGTTTTTATGTTTTTTTTTTTTTTTCTATCACAGGATATCATCTTTTAAGACTATAGTACCATTGATAACTGTTTAATTTTCTATCCAACAGAACCTTTTGCAACACAAGGAAGCCATTCGACAGTCCAGTCACCCCAGCCACCCCCAGGGGTTTACCCCCAGCCACCCCCAGGTGTTTACCCCCAGCCACCCCCAGAGGTGTCCTCCCAGAGTGGAGTGGGTCTTGTAGCCCGCAGTGTCATCAACCCTCCACCATCATCCGCTGCAGTCTCTCAGCCCTCAGCTGGACAACAACCAGGGATAGCTAGGTGAGACATTGTGTTAGGTGTGACATTGTGTTAGGTGTGACAGTGTGTTAAGTTGGACATTATGTTAGGTTTGACACTGTGTTAGGTTTGACAGTGTGTTAGGTGTGACACTGTGTTAGGTTTGACATTGTGTTAGGTGTGACAGTGTGTAAGGTTTGGCATTGTGTTAGGTGTGACAGGATAAGATGTTGTGATGTTCTATTGCTATCGGTGAGATATGATTTTATGGAGGCAGTGTGGAAGATATGTGAAGATGTTTGCTGGACAAGACACTGTGCTGGAATTCACAAATTTTAGGTTTGGTAGTTTTCTTATTGTCCAAGTATTGATAGCCCATTGTGAAGCTGAAGATAATAATATGCAATATATTTCTAAATATGTTGGGATACTAGTTATATGACAGCAGAGTACAGTTTACCTTGAAGACTTAACATTTAGCCATGCCTTATTACAGCAAAGAGAAAGTGCTAACACCCCTTGAGCAGGCCTACCTGGAGAACCAACAGCTCATGGCGGCCTACAAGGCGAGGATGGCCAAGATGAAAGTCGATAACAAGAGAGCTGCTCTGATGGTAAGACGGTGAACAAGAAATGGTGCAAAGAAAAAGAAAGTGTAAAGTTAAATATGTTGTATAGTTTCATGTGCTATATATTCATTATCAATTATTAGATTCTTTTATCAGTAACAGTGTGAATATATGATAAAATGACTTAGTACTTGTGCATTTACCCACTCAAATATTCATTTGTATATCTACCATAAAGCAAATACGTATGTTATTATAAACAACAGTCATGAACATGTGGTTTTTAAAGGGATAATAACTCTTCGTTTTGTCCAAAAAATGAATTTTCCTGGAGCAAACAACAATTTTCCCGTACTTACCAATGGTTAATGAATCCATTTTTAGATTCAAAGTTAGTCCCTGTTTTTTTTCTAAAAAGTTTGGTTTTTTGTTAAAATCTCTTAAGAGATTATAACTGCGTATATATAGCCATCAATGGAGGTCACGTGATCTGAAGACAAGCTCAGATATCAGAATAATAGCTATAACTGCTGTTTTTGTGGTAAAACAAAATATATTATATTTCTATGAGTTGTTCACAATGTTTTTATTGTGAAATATAGATATCATACAAAGAGTTATTATCCCTTTAAATTATGTGATAAAATTCTTTATTACAGCTGTATAGCTATAGCTTTATTACAGCTGATTTCTGTATATATATTTATCATATTTTTGTTTCTTTTCTTTCAGAGCATGAACCTTCAAAGAAGACTTGCAGAAAACTTGGCCCTGGCAAAGGCGAGGGAGGCAGCTGTATCCTTACTGGTTCTGTGATAACATTGTAGTGTTAGGTGTGAATTGTTCTAACATTGGTCTAGTCTCTCTTTACCAGTACTTGACAATGGAGAACATCATCTGTAGGTACAATGCAGGGGCGGATCCAGAGATATTTACTGTCAGGCTTCCAAATTATCTTTATTGCTCCATCCTCCATTTTTGACTGCCTTCTGACAGAAAAAAATAGATACCCGTCAATGTAAACTTTAAAATCTGACCGTCTTCTAGAAGACCCAGAAGACGGCCTAAATCTGCCCATGCAATGTGATAGAGATGACAGTTTGAAATACAGAAATGTGCTAGTTTGGCAGTGACCAGGTGTCTTAGAAGTCATAATTATATATAGAAAGCATGATCCTCTCACCTATTTACAGCAATTTAATAAAGAGTGAGATGATGGAAGCTCATTTAATATAAAAATAATGTTGTACTCTTGGTGATAACCAAGTATATGTGAAGAAGAGATGCATGGAGAAAGGGGAATATATGTAAATATGTATTGTAACATATTTATCACCATGTACTGGTGAAAGTGCCCAGTTGGACGAGTACAGTATATACCAGCATATATACAATAAGTTAACACTTGCTATGTATAGAGTGCAAAAATAACACTAGACCACAATATAACAATAAAAGTAATTATATGAAGGAAAATATACTTCCATGTTTGCATAAGATAACTATGCTGTACTTTGCATACTATTTGCCTTGCATTGAAAACACCCAGTACATGCATAGCATGGCAATTTATGCTCTAAATATTACTGTTATTATCGTGATTACTGTGATTCCTCCTCCCCCTTCCTCTACATCAGCCTCTTCTAGCACAGGTATAGATAAGAAGGCATATCATAGGTAGATAGGAGATGTAGGAGGTTCTGGGGAGTGATAAAGTACTGCATCAAAGAGAACCTCAATCTTAATTACAGTGTGTGAAAGCAAAATTAACCACTGAGGGATAAGATTGTTAAGATGAGGTTGCATAGTTATTATATGCAACATTTTAATGGTAGGTACACTGTACTGTGTGCATAATTGTATGTAGGCAGAATGGATTAATTTACATGCACTTGTTGATGTTTTTAACTCATATTTAATGTGCATACATATGTAGTAGATAAGTATGTTTGCCAGGGTTCAGAAACCTGTCATTTAATGAGATTACATCACTCAGTATAATTTAACGCCCCATACTAGGGCAGTCAAGTTTCTGTTTACTTTTGATTTCCCCTGGGATACTAAGTTCACTCTCCTCAGCAACTGTTGTTCATGTATTTAGGCAAAGACGAGATGTGCCAAAAGAACATTGTGAACTAGCACTTTATACCAGTGCTCTGAACATTACCATATTAATTTTGTTGGAGCATAGTTTTATGGTAAAAGTTAAAGATAGCACAGATGGTAGGATGCTATTACAATGTTGACCAGTGAAGGGAAGTGCTAAAGAGAGATCTGAAAACATGTATAGATTAGGTAAGTCTGATTTGTACAAAATGTGAAATCATTTTAAAGTGAAAGCAACAGAAATATGACATCTGAAGTCTTATGCATTGTTATTATTATTTTTTTTACACAGTTAGCAAGTTTAAATTTGTGATAGTGTAACAGCTAAATTTTATGACTTACTGACACACATACACATGCGCGCGCATACAAAATGTGCAGGTTATTCAAAATTCACATTTTAGTTATGAATGAATATGAGTATTAATTTTAATGAAAAAAATGGGTAATGATATTAGAAATTCCCTGCAGGTTGACTATGGCTGCTGATTGGGGAGCAGATGGAAACTTGGTGAACATTGAGAGGAATATATCTTACTTTTGGATGTACAATATATCCGTTCAACCAATTTGTGGTTAGCTTATTAAATAATATATAAACATAACATTGAAATGATTATTATCTGCTATATAATATTTAATACTGTGCTTCAGGTTAATGGCTATATGGCTTTAGGAATAGAACATCATTTTTTGGTCTTTAGTGTTAACAGAAGAGAAGTGCTGTTTGATCCAAGCGAGAGCTTGTGTTTTGATCCTTGCTTTATTTTTACCGAATTTATCAAAAAATGTCTTGTTTTCCAAGATGGAAAAATTCTCCTTGACTTGATACAGCTTGAGAGGAAGATTAGGGAGAGGCAGCAGAGACATCAAGACATTGCTGCAAGGTAGGATAAGGGTTATGTAATATTTTTATTGTGGATGCTTATTCATGTTATTTTACATGCCTTTCTCTGTCAGATTTACAGTCACAAGTTAAAGAAAGGTTATTTTTTACCACATTTGATACAAAGCCAAAGGACTGTAAAAGGGATTGTTATAAAACATAAGACTTGTGATCAACCAGATGGAAAATTTTGTATTCTTTTACCCTAGCTCTGATCCATTTCAAAAATGCATTTTTCCTCATGAGATATTTCGGGGGAATATTTTGTAAAATAATGTCTTTAGCTATTGGTTTTGATATAAATGTTTTGTAGGCGCTTTGCTGGAGAAGAAGAAAAACAAGCATTCTTCACTCAAGTGTTGAATTATGAAGAACAAAATGTAAGAATTCTCCCATTTAGGTGGTGGTGGGTTGGGGGGGGGGGGGTGTTAAGACACCATTCATGGAATATTAGCAAAAGAAAAAAAAATGGAATATATATACTGGGAATCATATTTTTAAAATTATTAATTTTTAAAAAAATTTTGTACTCTCTTACCAACATGTATTCTAGTTCAAAAGTAAATTTATATTACATTCATTTGTTATCAGTAGTCTTCTTTTTAAATGAAATATGAAAAAAAAACTGTTTTAGTTTGTGTGCCACAGGAGGTTTCACAGTTTATTTATGTGATTAAGGTCATCATATACATATTTCAGAAGTGGACTTTGCCATGGAGAGAGAAGCTGAAAGAATCTCCTCAAGATGCCTCACTAATTCACAGTCTAGTGAGACAAATTCTCAGGTATATGCATCTACTAATATGATGCTGGAAAACTATTTTTAATGGGGTTGCCCAAGCTGAATGTAGTTTTTCCACAGTTGTTAACCGAAAAAAGTAAATACTCAATTTTTGCTTTTCGAGTGTGTGTGTGTGTGTGTGTGCGTGTGTGTGTGTTCCAACACTTACATAATTTTTGATGTTTCAGTTCCACAGATCATCCAATCACAGTATTGCTTATAAAATACCAAGGGCAAATAAAACTCAAGATCGAGCCACTGGTTCTAAGACATGGCCAAAGTATGGTGCCTGTTACTGTTCCTTGGCCCCTAGATGATGATGATGAGGAGGAGGAGGAGGAAGAAGCCCAAACCAGTGACTACGACAGTCTTGCAACCAATGCTTCTGACACTAATACTGAACTGGAGAAATCTGGTGCCTCAGAGAGCACATCTGCTAACCAATCAGAAAACAGCTGTGATAAGGACTTGGGAGATATTTCCGGTGATGTGAAAGGGAATTTAGAAAGTGCAATAAGGAAAGGTGAAAGGCTTTCCTCAAAGCTCAAAAGCCAATCACTTGAGAACACAAACGTTCCAAAAGTGGTTAAAAAGTGTGAAGACGCTGCGAAGGACAACTTAGATCCTAGTCGAGAAAAATATGATGTGAACGACATGGACGATCTTTTTGAAGATTCAGATGATGGTGATGATGAGATGCCCCCTGGCACAGACAGCACAGCAAGCCAAGACCAGGCCACTCCAGTGATGGACAGTCCAGAGCAACTGACCGCTGCACTAGAGAGGCACCTGCATAACATCACCAAGGATGTCCATGTGTGTCTGGACCAGTTGATGTCTCTGTTCATTGTAGCCTACGAGGAGTTGGACTCTCCTGCTGGAAGAGATCAGTGCAGGGCCTCCATGGAGGAGCCCTTCTTCCAGCCTCTCTGGCCACTCTTGCTCTCTTTGTTCAGGTAGGAAGGATGTCATTCTGTTGTCAGACAACAGTTCCCAGTCATAGAAATGCATAAACAGGATTTTCACCATAAATTTAACTCATTGAACTCGTAAATTGGACCTCACCTGAAGAACTGAATTCAGAAATATTTTTTGATTATTCATCAGAAAGTTGTGAAGAAACTGAACTCTCAAGCTTTCAAAATGTAGATGGTTTGAAGTAATTCAATCTCTTTTATTTATAAAATTTCACATAAGTATTACCACATATTTATCTATCTATCGTACAGGATTGTGCACAGGAAGAAAGAGGTGAAGGTTGCCAAGGCAATGACCCAGTACATCAATGTCAGCCCAGGTCAATTGGGTGTGGCCTCTAGGCTCCAGCTCCCAGAGGAGGATGTGCCATATGAGGCTGCTATACTGGAACTGAGGGCTTTATTCCAACATGTCTGCCCTCTTAATAAGTTAGAAAGTCTGGGTAGGTTAATCCCAAGTTGTATTTCCAGTTTAGATGGGTCAACTGACCTCTCAGTCTGCTTTTTATTGTCGCAACTTCTGATGTAAAATAAAAGTTGATATTCTAAAAATTGCTGTCAAAGCACAAATGTTCTCATAAAATGTACAATTTTCTTAATTTTACTGTACCAGTAGTCACCTGTTGTTCATTGGTTTTGTAGTCTCTTTTTTTTTAAACATATTTTTGGGAAATTTATAAAAATCCATATTGAATATTGTACATCTTGTCTTATAGTGAAAGTGTCAAAATTGATCTGTCAGTGTGTTGAGGAGTCGTATGCCAAAAAGAATGACCAGGCTTCTCCAGTGCCAAACCTGTGAGTGAATTTCCCTTCTTTAAATGTGGACAAGAGTTTGCTTTCTTTTTAAATGAAAGTTTTGGTGCATTTACTAGTACAGCCGTGGTCCTGAAAAGATTAGATTCTCTTATTGTTTAAGTATAAACCTGTTAAACCTTTTGACATTAGGGCTTTGGAAGAATTTCATTACAAACGATAAGGGGTATGGGGTAAGGGGGGTATTTTTCAGTACATAATTTTTCTTGGCATTCCGTATACCAGAATGCTGGAAAAACCTGAGGCTGGATTTAGCAGTGTTATTAAACAATGTATTGTGTTATACTTTGAATGAAGTGCATTATTCCGTTATGTTTTAAAGACTATTTAATATTTATGATTATAAACGTCATTGTTTCAGAGGAGCAGATGATCTGCTGCCAATCTTGAGCTATGTAGTATTGCATGCTGGGATACCCCAGATAGTGTCAGAGGGGTACGCTATGGAGGAATTTATCCATGAAAGGTGAGGTATTGTAGTGGATTGATAGTACAAAGTGCCATGTAATATGTTTACTAACAGCTGTTCAGAACTAATGCTTGCCAAAGATAATTCATTCATTGCCACAGAAAAATATATATCATTCATAAGCGGTGACAGGCCCATAGCCAGGGGGGTTCAGGGTGTTCAAAAGAACCGCCATTATGGTCAGGAAAAGGTCCATTCTGGGTATTATTGTACCACCAGCGTTAGCGCTGGCGGTACACATGGTTTCGGTCCCGTCCGGACCGTTCCGTCGGCCCCGCCCGCTCCGCTTGGCTCCGCCGGGCCGCCACCGGTACTGCCTCTNTTAAATGTGGACAAGAGTTTGCTTTTTTTTATGAAAGTTTTGGTGCATTTACTAGTACAGCCGTGGTCCTGAAAAGATTAGAGTCTCTTATTGTTTAAGTATAAACCTGTTAAACCTTTTGACATTAGGGCTTTGGAAGAATTTCATTACAAACAATAAGGGATATGGGGTAAGGGAGTTATCTTTTAGTACATAACTTTTCTTGGCATTGTGTATACCAGAATGCTGGAAAAACCTGAGGCTGGATTAAGCAGTGTTATTAAACAATGTATTGTGTTATACTTTGAATGAAGTGCATTATTTCGTGATGTTTTAAAGACTATTTAATATTTATGATTATAAACGTCATTGTTTCAGAGGAGCAGACGATCTGCTGCCAATCTTGAGCTATGTAGTATTGCATGCTGGGATACCCCAGATAGTGTCAGAGGGGTACGCTATGGAGGAATTTATCCATGAAAGGTGAGGTATTGTAGTGGATTGATAGTACAAAGTGTCATGTAATATGTTTACTAACAGCTGTTCAGAACTAATGCTTGACAGAGATAATTCGTTCATTGCCACAGAGAAATATATATCTTTCATAAGCGGTGACAGGCCCATAGCCAGGGGGGTTCAGGGGGTTCAAAAGAACCGCCATTATGGTCAGGAAAAGGTCCATTCTGGGTATTATTTGATCTAGGTACTCAAAGGTTTCATTGTAAAAGGTTCACTTTTTCAAAAAAGAAAAACACACTCTTGAAATTGCTGGCTATGGGCCTGAGTGAGATATTAGAGTTAATTTATAATAGAAACATCCCCAGACATCCCCTGGTTGGTTGTGAGAGTCCATTCACAAGAGATGAGGCATTGTATTGGATTGATAGTAATATGTTCAATAGCTGCAACAGAATTGTTGCTTGCCATGGACGTCTTATTTGTGAAGGGTAAGATGAGAAATTTCTTGATTGTCGATTTATGAACGTATTTTTTATTTTCCAGCTATTTAATGGGTGAGGAAGGGTACTGTCTGACATCACTTCAGACAGCTCTGGGCTATGTGGCCTCTCTGTCCATGACACCACTGGAATAGACTGTGACCTTCAAGGTCACTTCTGCTCTCTGTCTTGGTACATGTATTGTATCAGAACTGTGCCAGTTTAACAATTACAAATGATGTAATTAATGAACAATGGGATGGATTTTTACCGAAACGTGTACCAGAAGAATCAGTCTTCATGTTTGGTTTCAAGTAGAGTGCAATAAAAAAGTCTACTTAATGGTATGTACTTTTACAGCTGACATTTAGATTGGTTTCTTTGTTGTTGTGGCATCTCATACTGATAAATGTACAGTAGTCCAGGATGTTCTTGAGTTGGTCAGCATCTCATTTTCGTTTTGTATACATATGTTACTTCACACTCAAGAGATGTTGCACATAGCATAATGGGAGGAATGTGCAGTATTTTTATTTAACTTAATTTATTGATTAGATAGATTGTACACCTTCTTTCATTTTACTTAATTACTTTTGTAGATAGATAATATATGTGTTAGTTTTACATTTTACAAAGTAAAAAATTTGCCAAATGGAATCGAACTTTCATATATATATATATATATATATATATATATATATATATATATATATATATATATATATATATATATATATGTCATAGGACATCAGTTGGAAAATATGCTTTATGTTGCTAGCATCTTCAATTGCAGAATGGTGCAGTTTGATTCTACCAGCAAATCCAAAATTTATGTGTATATTTTGATCAATTATAATTTTAGCCATACGAAAAAGGTGCTTTGTAAATAAGAGTTGCAGACTTCGATTGTGAGATTCCCCATTGAAATGAAAACTGCTGAAATGACACAGTATGGTTCTACCAGCTTTGCAGTAAGCCACAACAAATAAAATATTTATGTAAAATATGATTTATTCCTCAGAAACAAACTTTCCCTTGGTGCATGACACTAAACTGAGAAGTAGAAATAATTGCTCCACATGTCTGATGAACTATTTAAAAGCTTCAAGGTAACTTTTCCCAGTACCTTCTGAGTCTTAAAGTTGACTTTTACATGATAATATTTGATGTAAGTATCTGCATTGAAATGTTACTGTACACATATTATATTTATTTAAAAATTATTCAAGCTGCCCTAATTTACTCTCCATCCCCGTATACATATATGCTATATTTTAAAATTTCCAACTTGTAACAAGCAGCTCAAATTGCAATCAATATTCAACAATGTAATGGAATATTTACAAATATATATAATGTATCATATAAATTTATATTCATATGTATAAAAGGTAAGAATTTATGTGTGAAGTCTATGTGTGTCTATATTCAGAGATATATAAATTTGGAATCTTAATAAAATATTATTGCTCTCAAAATATGAACCCAGTCTGTGTTGAAGATTTCATGATTTGGGGTTAAAATCTAAAAATTTGTTATTATAAGACCACAACTGGATCTGTTTAAAACTGAAAAACAAAATGTTCAGGTGCACAAAATCTTAAACACACACTTTTCTTAAAAGTTAAAACACTTTCAAAATACTAGTATCACATAAAAAGAATCCCATGCGTCTTTCCACTCTGCTGCAAACTGACTTTTCATGGAAAATTGTAATATATAGCCCTGAAATTTGGTATCCAAAGGATCCACACAAGAACTTTTCTATCTCCACATAGAGTGAAGGGTTTCACCTCTGTGTTCAACATGTTAAGTTCTATATTGTGCAATATATAAATCCTCAAAATAAGGACATGAACTCCTTCCATAAAAAATATGCCATGCTCATTTATCTTTATAATGCAAATCCAAGCTGAAATGAGACTGCAAAATAAAATGTCACTTTCCTCTCTATTAGTCTAACCAGATCACTTATGTCTATAGCTGAGAAGCGCTTGCTTCACGCATGGCTGAAACACGATCATGCAGAGCATTCAGCTCTTCTGCAATCTCATCGGGAAGATCATCATTGACTTGCTCATAGTAATATTTACGAATGGCCTCCACTTCATCTAGCCAAAACTCTCGCGGGATGTTAAACAGGGCATCCAAATCGACTTTATCTTTCAAGCCTTCAAGGTTTAGAGAGTTATCTTTTGGCACCAGACCAATAGGCGTTTCCATGGCGCAGTCCTCTCCATCCAGACGACGGAAGATCCAGTCCAAAACACGGGTATTTTCACCAAATCCTGGCCAGAGGAACTTGCCGTCCTGTCCCTTACGGAACCAGTTAACGTGGTAGATCTTTGGGATATGTACACCAGGTTTCTGCTCCATACTGAGCCAGTGTTTCAGATAATGGCCGAAGTTGTAGCCAAAGAATGGACGCATGGCAAAAGGATCATGCATCAGGACCTTGGCTGGAAGCAAAAATTAAAATTATTAGTTTTAGTATTTTTAATAATAATTTTTTTTTACTTGAAATATTTAATATGATGTTCAGTTCAATCTGGATGTGCAATCAGGAAAATCAACGCATTTTTTATCTTAACTGTGACTGGAATTCTATTTTATTGGCTGAAAATAATTTTCTCTCTTGCATTCCTAAAACTTAGTTGAATGTTCTACACTACTCTTTAATAGAAAACAAACTTCCACAAAAAACTCAAATGCATCTAATGCTTCCCTACTTGTTTATGGCATATTCAGCTCCACATACAATTAAACCATGACATCCAAAGATGACAAAATTTAATTTAATTTAAATTCACCTTTGTGTTCAGCGGCAGCTGTGGCCTCTGATCTCATGGCGCTGCCCACAAATACTCCATGGCGCCAGCTGAAGGTCTCGTACACAAGGGGAACTCCTTCTGGTCTCCTTCCACCAAAGATTATTGCTTCGATTGGTACGCCTTCTGAAGACTCCCAGTTGGGGTCTATGATGGGACATTGGGAGGCAGGGGTGCAGAACCTGAAAGATATTTTATTGGAATATGTCAGTTTAACAGAAAGATATAAAATTGGAAATATTTGAATTGGAACTGGTTGAATTTCTTCAATATGTTGGAGTTTTACTTGTGTTTGTATTCCTGTAAATCTCAACAACTGTTATTAGTTGATTTAAACTGAACTTATTTAAGATTATCAGTTCCGATACATTTTTTTCTGTCACAAAGAGAGTTGTTTTCCCCGTTTGTTGCAATAAACTGTAAATGGGAAAAATGAAGGTTGTGTTATGTGTGTCAATGAACAATCTCAACATTGTGATAGGTGTGCCCATGAACACAATCTTACCTGGAGTTGGGGTGTGCTGCAGGTTTCCCACTTTCCTTTGTCCAGTTCTCCTGGCCTAGCCAGGAGGTGATTGTGACGCCCTCTGCTGGATCCTCATTGATGTCCTCCCACCAGACACCACCATCACTGGTCTCTGCGACATTGGTGAAGATTGTGTTCTTCCTGATGGTTGCCATAGCATTGGGGTTGGTTTTATTGGATGTTCCTGAAACGGTCATCAATATATTTTTTGTCATTTATATATTCATTCAAACAGATGAAAATAATAACAGAACAATTTTGCTACTAAATGTCAAAAATACACAAGGTAATTTCTGACAAAATTGTATTGGTAAACCCATTAAGATGAATAAAAAAGTTTTTTTCATATTTTGAAAAAAAAAACTACATTCTTTCTTGTTTTAAAAATTGATAATTTTGCTATGTAAAAAATATGAAAAAAACTTACTCTACAAGGACTATTTACATAGATCATACATTAAAAATAAATATAGGTTTATAAATCCATTCACAAAATTATCTCAGATGCCATATACCATTAAGGTTAAAATGACAAAAATAAATCAAAATTTTATCAATATCTTACCGGGCGCCACACCAAAGAAGCCAGCCTCTGGGTTGATAGCACGCAGCTGCCCCCGGTCATCAAATCTCATCCAGGCAATGTCGTCACCCACGCACTCGATCTTGTACCCCGGGAGTGTAGGGTTCATCATGGCCAGGTTGGTTTTACCACATGCACTGGGGAATGCTGCTGCAATGTATTTCTTCTTCCCAGCAGGGTTGGTGATGCCAAGAATCTGATCGGTGATAAAAATGTTGAATGAATGAAATATCATTTAAAATAATCACGCACCTTTATGTTATATTGAAATATAAACAAATGGTGCTCATAACAAAAAATATTAAGGGAACGTTTTTAATTCCTAACATGTGCATAAGAAAGTGCATTGCTTAGAAAAAAAACACAAATATGATGGAACACCTGCTAATTAAGCTTCTTTATCAATCGATTACGTTTTTCATACAAATATTTAATTTTATCAGGAATGTGAAATATTAGAACCTGTGTGTTGACATGTGCTCAAATCTTATACAAAATCTTCTGAATACCCAACTGCATTAAAAAACTTTTGCTTTATTACATACAAAAACATAAATAAATAAATAGATAAATCTCGCCACTGACCAGCATGTGTTCTGCCAGCCAGCCCTCATCCCGAGCTATAATGCTGCCCAATCTCAAGGCGAAACATTTCTTCCCCAGGAGAGAGTTGCCGCCATAGCCGCTGCCATAGGAGATGATCTCGTTATTATCTGGGAGATGAGAGACCAGTACCTTCTCAGGGTGGCATGGCCAGTTATTCTTCAGAGGTCCTGAATATGACAATATGCCAGTTATAGTAATGTATGCACTCTATGTACTCAACAATTTCAAAATGAAATATCAGACAAAGAATGTTCCAATTAGACATAAACTTGAAAGAGTTTATTAATTTGAAATGCGTATGTATTTTTGAATCCAAAAGATCAATTATGAACTATCATTAATCTTGCCACGTACATTTATGTCTGACTTAATAAGTACTTTGAGATGAAATCATTATTAATTACATAACCAACTGGAAGCATTTATACTAAACGGCTTTTGTGATGTTAGAAAATAATTGATATTAAAACAGAAATGATAATCTACTGAAATAGTTGCCAAAGTAATATAGAGTTTAATCTAAGAAAATGAGTAAAAATGTTTTCCTTACTGGTAAGAGGCAGAGGAGCACCAATGGAGTGTAAACATTTGACGAAGTCTGCGTTGCCAAGGGTGTCTATCACAGCTGTGCCTATGCGTGTCATGATGCGCATGCTCGCAACAACATACGGTGAGTCTGTCAACTGTATGCCGATCTTAGACAAGGGAGACCCAACTGGGCCCATACTGAATGGAATCACATACATTGTGCGGCCTGAAATATCAAATAAATATATTTATGTATTCACAACTAAGTAACAAAATTAACAAGCTTACTGACAACTGTAAATTTGCATGATGAAAAACATTAATGAAGAGGATAAACTCAAAACACACACACACACAATAATAATAATAATAATAATAATAATAATAATAATTAATGAATAATACACATGTAGTACCTTTCATACAGCCTGGAAATCTCTCCCCTAGCGCCCTCTGTAGGTCATCCGGTGACATCCACTGACCTAGTTGACCCTTGACGCCCTCAGCTGTCGTGGGAATGGTGTCTCTGCGGTTGGTGGTTGAGATCACAGTCTTGCTTTCCACCCTCGCCACATCTGCTGGATCTGTGCACGCCAACCAGCTG